TCTGATTGAGAAATCTGTTCTGGATCTTGAGCTGATTGAAATGATTCTGGAAGGTTAATTGGGCTTTTCTGTTTAAGGTCCATTGGACTTATAAGTCTAATAATAGAATTTCCAGTCTGCTGTGTCTGGTCTTCAGAAAAATTTTTATTTTCTGTAACAGGATTTTCAGCCTGTTGAGTCTGATTAAATTGAAAAGTAGGGGAATCAACAGTCCCCTGAGTCTGTTGAGCTTTTGGTAAGCCCAGAACCATAAACGGATTTGATAAGTCTTTACCAGCTTCCGTTTGAACTGGACTAGCTATAGAATTCTTGGGCTCCATATTACCTGCTTGTATCTGAACAATTGGATTTGAAATTTTTAAATTAATAATTTCTTGTTCTAATTCAGAAATTTTCTTTTGTAAAACTAATTTTTCTTGTTGTAAAGACTGATTTGACTCATTTAAAATTTTAAAATTCTTAGTCATACATTCACAATGTTTACAAAATTTAGAAGCATAATCTAAAGGCTGATCTGAAACATTCTTTAAAGAAGCAGCAACAAAATAATTAATTCCTATAAATTTTCTACATTCTTCTAATGCTTCTGAAATAGAATAAAATCCTTTATAAAGAGGATTTGGAAAATTCTTTATACAATCTGAAACTTCTAGCCAGGTATGATAAATTCCTAAGGACAAGCAAGTAAATCTCACAGCCAAATGAATTTCACCCATCTTTTTCACACCCGAAGGCTGTAAAACTAGAAGAGGATACGAATGTGTGTACACACGATCTGTTTCTAAAGTTGAAAGCCGAATCCTAACCTTTCCTATCCGCGATTCCTTTCCTTCTCCACCCGGTAGATTTCCATTATCGAATACACCAATGGTTAAGACCGTGCAAGGATCATAAACTTCCCAAGTGTATTGCTCATTCCATTTGGGGGAAAGACTGTTGATAATTGTCCTCGTCCTGACCCACTTCAGCCCGTATTTAGCAACGCAGTAAGCATCTGTCGTTGCCTGACCATCTACTGTCTTCATCGGTGATAGCCCCTCAGCATTCAAAATACCCAACTCGAGAATCCCAATGCTCGACTTCCACAATTGTTTAGCTGTTGGTTTAAGATCGCTGCTATAATGAGTCGATTCATCCAGAACATGGTAACCACCATCCAAAGAAATTCTTGCGTGAATCTTGCTGTTGAACTTCCCTTCCTTCTTTTCTCCTTCAACCAAAAGTTTTTCCAGATTATACCACCTTGTATTGACAGGTTTATTGTCCACCCTCTTGTCCACATACTTTAAAGGAATTGCACATCTTCCAAGAACTTCAGTTTTGTTGGGAGCAACCCTGTCTTCCACACTCAAAATCAACGGTGCCTCGAATGGCTCTACAGCCACAAACATCAGATCCTCATTCCACATAGGATTGATACTCCGACTCGTGGAAACTTGTGTAGTAAGCCCTTCATTTCCCAAAATGGCCTTCACATAAACTTCTGGAAACCTACTTTTATCGCTTGGTTGCAAGTCTTGAGCTTCAATCACGTTTACTCTCAGATACCACAGCTTAGGTGAGGGGTAGACCTTTGACCTTATACTCGAAAGGCTGTCCACACCACCAACTGCTACACTATCCGAAAGCCACGCCTCGGGAAATGCTTCATCAGCTTGAGTGCCCATCCAAACAGCCAACATGACCTCTCCTTTAACCTTATCACCCTTCCTATCCTCCAACCTAAACCACTGTGGGGCCAGAGGACTATCTGGGGGAACCCTTTTAGGAATCACATTCAAGTCAAACAGAACCCGACCCATAAAATCATCCTTCACAACATCCTTATCTTTCACTGTAACCTCAACGATCGAGGCCTGAAGCCGATCCTTCGAGAAAGCAAACACCTGATTCCACTCCGGGTTTGACTTCTTTTCAAAATGACGGGTTACACCCTTATAGTTTCCAAGCTTAACCTCAACATAAGGGTCACAGCTACCCGTAGCATCCTTTCCAGGTAAGTCTTTAGCCTTCACAACCCGGACATAAAGGTACTCCATTTGCTCAACGAGGTCATAGGTGCTTGTGAGCTTATCCCCGATGAACTTCCCTCCACCAAGAAGCGGGTTGGTCTCCCTCAGCGAGAAATCTTCTTGTGGAGGCCTTTCCATTTTCTCCTCTTTTCCTTTTCGACTCTCAATTCAGAATATCCCCACAACCAAAATTTCAAGAATACGATAATAAATCTTTGAAAAACCCTTCACAGATCTTAGCAGAAATTCTTGATCAGCTTACCGTTCAAGAGACATTTCACAACTGCCTAAATCTCCGAAAATAATCACAGGCAAACAGAGTCTTAAATGGCCAGTGGACAAACATATAACAAAGGTAGAATACTGAAACTACAAATGCTTATACTTAAGGTGCGGAGCAAAACAAAAAACTTAAGATTACTTTCAAATAGAGAACCTTAGAAAGGAAATTCTTGCTAATCCCGGAATTATTTAAAAGCTTCGGTTCTTAATGGTTCGAACCTGTAAAACAAATTAATATAAACATATACATTCAAATAAATAAACAGAATCATAATTAAAATCTAAAGAATGGGAGAAAATTATTAGCAAATTTGTTTAAACTGCATAGATTATATATATAAGGTAAACAGACATATAATAAGAACATAAAAGCTTACATCCTATAAAAAAATACATACCCAAATCAATCCTCAGAAAGAACCAGCAATATCTTGCATGAAAAATCCAAATGCAGAAATACGTACTATTAATTTTTGTGTTATTCCTGTGATTTATAAAGAACTATTTGTGCAGGTATAAATATAGATATAGACATGCAAAAGAACAATAGATATATCTACAAAGCAAAGAGATGGATATACATTGAGGATTCCCTGAAGCTGAGATGATAAGATTCTAAGAGGAGAAATAGATAAAGGTGTTCAATTTTTGCTGCCTCAGGAATCAAATAGTATGATCTAGAAAGAGAGAATAAAAGATGAAAGCAGAGAGCAAAAACAGAATTTCTCTCTTTCCCCGAACTTTTTTTTTTAAGAACGAGAAAGATGAATATTGAGGATGAGGGACCTCGTGAATCCGCTTTGGGAATCAAATGCTAAAAACATATTGTGTTTACCGACTACCGTGCGTATGTATAGAATCTACAAAAGGACTATGAATATCTTTATGTCTCTTTCTTTTCCTTTTTTCTTTTCCCTGTAGCTTGAACGTCGTAATTCGCATGGCGGTGCATCGGAGGACTATGGCAGGAACGACTTCCGTCTGATCTCCGATCAAGCTAATCATGAATGCGTTGATCCCCATTGCTGATGGGAATAAGAGAGGACTGGAGCCCTAAATTTAAATAATGCTCTTAATTGATCGACCACACAGAAAATTGGTTT